TGTGGCAAGAAAAGTCGTAAAACGGGGCAAAATTCACTTAACCAATGTTTCACTTAGCAGCGTAAATTTTGGGCTCAATTATGGTCATTACTCGAGGAATATCTATCTATCTATCTATCTATCTATCTATCTATCTATCTATCTATCTATCTATCTAAAATGTTTTTCTATCGAGAAACCTGGTATCTATCTATCTATCTATCTATCTATCTATCTATCTATCTATCTATCTATCTATCTATCTATCTAAAATGTTTTTCTATCGAGACACCTGGTATCTATCTATCTATCTATCTATCTATCTATCTATCTATCTATCTATCTATCTATCTATCTATCTATCTATCTAAAGTGTTTTTCTATCGAGACACCTGGTCTATATCTATCTATCTATCTATCTATCTATCTATCTATCTATCTATCTATCTATCTATCTATCTAAAATGTTTTTCTATCGAGACACCTGGTATCTATCTATCTATCTATCTATCTATCTATCTTTATCTATCTATCTATCTATCTATCTATCTATCTATCTATCTATCTATCTATATCTAAAGTGTTTTTCTATCGAGACACCTGGTCTATATCTATCTATCTATCTATCTATCTATCTATCTATCTATCTATCTATCTATCTGTCTATCTATCTATCTTTATTTTACTTTATTTTGGATTTATATACCGCCCTACTCCCGAAGGACTCGGGTCGGTGAACAGCAAAAGATAAAACACACATAATACAAAATTTAAAAAACAATGTAAAAGCACATTAGATAATTTGGCCCATACAGATTAAAACACCCCCTATTGTTTTAAAACAAATTTAAAATTAACAATTAAAAGGAAGTTAGGCCAGGCAGCCTGTTGAAATAAAAAGGTCTTGAGGGCACGGCGGAAAGTGTGTATATCTCGGGGGGAGCTCGTTCCAAATGGCAGGTGCCCCCACAAAGAAGGTGTCACCTATCTATATCTATCTATCTATCTATCTATCTATCTATCTATCTATCTATCTATCTATCTATCTATCTATCTATCTATCTATAAAAACTATTTTTCTATCACGACACCTGGTCTACCCCAGCATGTGGGAGGGAGCGTACTGCATCCCTTTCGCCTTTCAGCTCCAATCCAGGAGCTCTCAAGCAGTTGCATCCACAATAAATCATTTTATATCACTGGTATACATACACATACACATGCATACATATACATACATGAATACATACATATACATGCATGCATGAGTACACACACATACATACATGCATGCATTCATACATACATACATACACACATATTCTTTTGAGAGCAGGCATCAGAATTTCATTTTTTTAATGTGTGTCAGTGTGTCCAGAGGAAAAAAATCTCATCTTATTACGCTCGCCAAGAGCTGTTTGTAGAAATGTGTCATCTTTTCACATCACAACCACAACTGAATGAAAACAGCCTTTTTAAAAGCATCGCGGAGAGGAGTCTAAATTTCCATGGTAATAAGCAACTTACATTATGAGCTGCAGACTCTTAACATGCTTTTTCCTAACAGATCCTCCTGGTAAGATTTTGGGGTGCTTCTGCACCGAAAGTTCACAAGGCTAATCTTTCCTTGTCCCCGGAGGAAACTTCCTCTGCACAAACACAACTACATTTGCCAAATTGCACACCAACTGTTGATTTCCCTGGCAATCCTGAGAATGGTCTTATTGCAACAACAGTCAACATGGGGAAAAAAAAGGGTGTTTTTTTGTGATTTTTTTTGCAATTGACAGATGTCAAAATGCAAACCGATTTAAGGCTGTTTGGGAGGGGGGGCGAGAGGGGGCTTGAAAAAAAAAATCTCAGCCCTCCTTCAAGTCAAACCACAACTTTTACTCAAAAGCAACAACATTTCAATCAATTCCGAGCCACTCATTTAACCCCACTGAGATTTGGTCACTGCCGTTAGGCCTCGGCTTTCAACCGTCCGTTTAGTGACCGTTCAAAGTTACCACGGCACTGGCAAAAGTGACATACGACCGTTTTTCATACTTACCACCGTCGCTGCAACATCCCCTGTAATCCCACAATCAAAATGGCAGCGGATTCATACTTATGACGGCTGCCGTGTCCCAGGATCACGTCATCCGTTTCTGTGACCTTCTGACCAGCAGTGGGGGAAGCCGGATTCGCTTAAACGACCGAGTTACTAACTTAACAACTGCACCGATTCACTTAACCACCGTGGCAAGAAAAGTCGTAAAATAGGGCAAAACTCACTTCACGGATGTCTCACTTTTTTTTTTCAATAATTTTTATTAATATATTCTATATATTATTCTCTCTCTCTCTCTCTCTCTCTCTCTCTCTCTCTCTCTCTCCGTATATATATATACGGATGTCTCTCTTAACGGCGTAAATTTTGGGCTCAATCATGGTCGTAAGTCGAGGACTGCCTGTACTAACTCAGAAAGCTTTATACTAACTATTTTAAAAGGGGAATATCGGTAGCTCAGGGTTGACATCAGGGAGTCCTTGGTGCTCTCTGAACTTGCTTGTTTTGTTTACAGACGTTTTGTGACCCAGCTAGGTAAGATCATCAGTGCTGAGAGGAGGAGGAGGAGGAGGAGGAGGAGGAGGAGGAGGAGGAGGAGGAGGAGGAGGAGGAGGAGGAGGAGGAGGAGGAGATGATCTGTGGGATTCTTGGTGCTCTCTGAGCTTGTTTTCTTGCAGACGTTTCATTACCCAAGTAGGTAACATCATCAGTGCTAGTAAGGTGGGGTTTGCTGTCAGTTTATATTCTGGTGTCTTGCCCTGTGAGTGTTTGCGGTGGCGGTTTTAGAGATTCTTCGGTTGGGCTGTTTACTGACGGCTCTTTGGCAGTTTCTTGATTGGGGTTACTTGATGGTTGGTCTGAATTTAAGCTTGGAGTTAAAACGCCAGGGAGTTCCTAGAAGCCTGGCACTCTGACAAATCTGCCATCAACAGACACATAGAGGTTAACGACATCTACGCAAAGGAGACAAGCAACCAGCCCAAAAGGGAACAAAAAGACGCCAGCACTTCTCCACTAGTAATCGGAACACAGAGCAGCATAGATTAACTCCAAGGTTAACCTCCGACATCGAGTAAACAATCCGCCAATCAAGAAACTGCCAAAGAGCCATCAGTAAACAACCCAACCAAAGAATCTCCGAGGCTGCCGCCACCCACACTGACACCCACAATATAAACCCACAACTCTTCCTCCTTCTCCTCCTCCTCTTCCATTCCACAAACCCCCCACTCCCTTCTAGCACTGATGGTGTTACCTAGTATGGTAATGAAACTTCTGCAAGAAAACAAGCAAGCTCAGGGAGCACCAAGGACCCCTCCTCATGTCAACCCTGAGCTACCAATATTCCCCCTTTAAAATAGTTAGTATAAAAGCTTTCTGAGTTAGTACAGGCAGTCCTCAATTTATGACCACAATGGACGGCCAAAATTTACCGTTAAGTCAGTCTTCCCCCCTCCTCCGCAAACCTTCCTCCCTCCTAGCAGTGATGATGTTACCTAGTTGGGTCATGCAACGTCTGGAAGAAAACAAGCAAGCTCAGGGAGCACCAAGGACCCCCACAGACTTCCTCCTCCTCCTCCCCTCTGCAAACCTCCCTCCCTCCTAGCATTGATGATGCTGCCTAGTTGGGTCACGCAACGTCCACCAAGAAAGCAAGCAAGCTCAGAGAGCCCCAAGGACCTCCATAGTCCCCTCTCCTCCTCCGCAAACCTCCCTCCCTCCTAGCAGTGATGATGTTGCTTTGTTGGGTCACAAAACATCCACCAAGAAAGCAAGCAAGCTCAGAGAGCCCCAAGGACCTCCATAGTCCCCTATCCTCCTCCGCAAACCTCCCTCCCTCCTAGCATTGATGATGCTGCCTAGTTGGGTCACAAAACGTCCCCCAAGAAAGCAAGCAAGCTCAGAGAGCCCAAGGACCTCCATAGTCCCCTATCTCCTCCGCAAACCTCCCTCCCTCCTAGCACTGATGATGCTGCCTAGTTGGGTCACAAAACGTCCCCCAAGAAAGCAAGCAAGCTCAGAGAGCCCCAAGGACCTCCATAGTCCCCTCTCCTCCTCCGCAAAGCTCCCTCCCTCCTAGCACTGATGATGCTGCCTAGTTGGGTCACCCAACGTCCCCCAAGAAAACAAGCAAGCTCAGAGAGCCCTAAGGACCTCCATAGTCCCCTCTCCTCCTCCACAAACCTCCCTCCCTCCTAGCAGTGATGATGTTACCTAGTTGGGTCATGCAACGTCCAAGAAAACAAGCAAGCTCAGAGAGCCCCAAGGAACCTTCCGCTAAACCATTTTCATTAAGGAACAAAAAAAGCCTTAGGGGAAAGAAAGAGGAAATGCAAAGCAGCCGCAAGCATAGATCCCGCTGCTCACCCACCCAAAATATAAATCTACTTAAAAAGGGGTGATTTCACTTGACAGGTCCTTATTCTACAGATAGAATTGGAGAGGGGGGAATAATAATAATAATAATAATAATAATAATAATAATAATAATAATAATAATAATAATAATAATAGCAGCCCAAGCACATGGGTGCAATTGCAACTGTTTGCAAACACCCAACACCACCATCAGATCTTCCAAGGTGCAAAACCCCCCCACCCCAACTTTGGCATCCCTGCCCTACCTGGCACCACATTCCCACGTTCAAAAAAAACCAAAAAAACCGCCCCAAAATGACTTTCAATGACTTCCAAGCCATTTGGGCATGCCAATTCCCCCGTTCTCTTGCCCCCTCACCCCCCCCCCCGCAAGGAGGGCAAAAAAAATCAAATAAAATCCCCGCTTTCTTTTCCCGTGTACAACATTCACACGTGCAGCAGGGACAAAAAGAGGGAAGGCTGGCGGGGTCACGTGCGCCAAAGCGGACCCGGGAAGGGGAAGGGGGGGCGAGGCGGATACCCCCCCCACACACACCCCACAAAGCAAAGACACCCCGGGAAAAAGGAACCGAGGTCGAAGGGGACTCACCTTCCCCGCCGCATCTCCGCAACAGCAGGCAGCAGCGGCGGCGGCAGCGTTCGGGTGCGTTCGGGTGCGTTCGGGCGTCGAGCCGAAGAGCCGAGCGGGCGGCCGGGAACCCGAAAGAGCTTCGTCGAATGGAACGCCGCGACGTCAGCAAACTCCGGCCAATGAGAACGCCGCTTCCCGGCTCTGTGAGGGGAGGGGTGGGGGGACGACGACCCGCCTCTTTGGCTTCCTGGAAGAAGAAAAACCCACCAAACAACCACGGGAAGCTTAGGACATGAAAGCCCTTCTATAAAACTCCTCTATGGTTTTGTAACCGGACTCCGCCTTTGCCTCCTCGCGCCCTTTTTTTTTCCAGCCCAGCCCTCGACGGTCTTTTAAACGCGAGCATGTTTTAGAGACGTTCTTGCCAGAGGGGGCGCTGTTGCTTTTGCCGTTGCAGAACTTCCCTCGGGGAACGTTTTTGCAAGCGTTGTCTGCTTTTATATATATATTAATATATATATGCTTTAATATATATATATATATATATATATATATATATATATATATATATATATATATGCATATATATATATATATATAATATATTATTATATATATATATATATATATATATATATATATATATATATATATATATATATATATGCTTTTATATATATATATATGCTTATATATATATATATATATATATATATATATATATATATATATATATATATATATATATATATATGCTTTTATATGCATATATATGCATATATATATTAATATATTAAAGCATATATATATTAATATATTAATAAATTAATATATATATATATATATATTTAATATCCATATCTATATCTATATCTATATCTAGCTGGGTAATGAAACGTCTGCAAGGAAACCACCAAGTTTAGATAGCACCAAGAGCCCCGCAATCGTCCTCCTCTCAGCAAACATCAATCCTTTCTAGCACTGATGATGTTACCTAGTTGGGTGATGAAACGTCTGCAAGAAAACCACCAAGTTTAGATAGCACCAAGAGCCCCACTAAAGTAGGACGTAAAGTGAGAAAAGTGAAATGATACGGGGTTGGATTGGATGACCTCTAAAGGTCCCTCCACCTAGCTATTGTAAGAGACATTTTCTGAGTTTGAAATGTCAAACCACAGAGTTAGCTAGCTTTCTCACCTCCGAGTCAAAGTGTAGAGCTAAAACCACATAAGTCAATATGAAACTAGTATTTCCTGCATGATTCCTGTGTCTCAGACGCAAGATATAATGCCCAGCAATAAGGGGCCTAGCCAATAGGAATGATCTAACATATTTCCATGTTTTGCTGCTTTTGAAGACTATAGAATGCTTGTCTTAATCAGAACATTGTTCAGGTGTTAGATAGTTATCTTTTCTGTCTGAACCTTTGGCCAAAATAAAGCTTCTCTTCATCTCGAAGTCTGAGTCCTTTGATTTTCTACAACAGCACAGTCCTCCTCCTCTCAGCAAACATCATTCCCTTTCAGCACTGATGATGTTACCTAGTTGGGTGATGAAATGCCTGCAAGAAAACCACAAAACTTATACAGCACCAAGGACCCCACAGTCCTCCTCCTCCTCTCTGCAAACTCCACTCCCTTCCAGCACTGATTTATTTATTATTTATTTATTAATCAAATTTCTATACCGCCCTACTCCCAAAGGACTCAGGGCGGTGAACAGCCAAGATAAAATACAGATAATACAAATATTAAAAAATCCCTTAAAATTATTAAATATTTCGGCCGAAACACAGATTAAAACACCCAATTTGTAAAATCACGAATTAAAAAATTTAAAAATTTAAAAGATGGGAGTTAGGCCAGGCCAGCTTGCTGAAATAGAAAAGTTTTGAGAGCACGGCGAAACGTATATATATATTAATATATTAATAAATTAATATTATATATATATATATATATTTAATATCCATATCTATATCTATATCTATATCTAGCTGGGTAATGAAACGTCTGCAAGGAAACCACCAAGTTTAGATAGCACCAAGAGCCCCGCAATCGTCCTCCTCTCAGCAAACATCAATCCTTTCTAGCACTGATGATGTTACCTAGTTGGGTGATGAAACGTCTGCAAGAAAACCACCAAGTTTAGATAGCACCAAGAGCCCCACTAAAGTAGGACGTAAAGTGAGAAAAGTGAAATGATACGGGGTTGGATTGGATGACCTCTAAAGGTCCCTCCACCTAGCTATTGTAAGAGACATTTTCTGAGTTTGAAATGTCAAACCACAGAGTTAGCTAGCTTTCTCACCTCCGAGTCAAAGTGTAGAGCTAAAACCACATAAGTCAATATGAAACTAGTATTTCCTGCATGATTCCTGTGTCTCAGACGCAAGATATAATGCCCAGCAATAAGGGGCCTAGCCAATAGGAATGATCTAACATATTTCCATGTTTTGCTGCTTTTGAAGACTATAAGAATGCTTGTCTTAATCAGAACGTTGTTCAGATGTTAGATGGTTATCTTTTCTGTCTGAACCTTTGGCCAAAATAAAGCTTCTCTTGATCTCGACGTCTGAGTCCTTCGATTTTCTACAACACCACAGTCCTCCTCCTCTCAGCAAACATCATTCCCTTTCAGCACTGATGATGTTACCTAGTTGGGTGATGAAATGCCTGCAAGAAAACCACAAAACTTATACAGCACCAAGAACCCCACCGTCCTCCTCCTCCTCTCTGCAAACTCCACTCCCTTCCAGTACTGATGATGTTACCTACCCTGAAAATAAGACATCCTGAAAGACCTAGCATGGTTTTATGTATGTGCCTAATATAAGCCCTACCCCCCCCAAATAAGCCCTACTTAAGACCCTGCACAGCCAGCCTCCTACCCCACTGTGAGCAAGCAGAAAAAGTGGCCCTCCTGTACATGAGGGGAAAAGTAAGATACCCCCTGAAAATAAGACCTAGTGCCTATTTCGGGACCCAAAAGAAAATAAGACCCAGTCTTATTTTTGGGGAAACACAGTAGTTGGGTCATGAAACGCCTGCAAGAAAATAACCAGCCTCAGAATCTATAGAGATTCAAAGAATCTCAAAGAAAAATAAGAAAACTCTGTTGCCTTTTGGAAAAGCATTTTTGGGACAACCAAACTGAGAGAGCACCAAGGATCTCACAGTCTTTCTCCTCCACGCCTTATTCCACTCCACAAACCCCACTCCCTTCTAGCACTGATAATGTTAGCTAGTTAGGTAATGAAATGTCTGTAAGAAAACCACCAAGGTGAGAGAGCACCAAGGACCCCACAGTTCAACCCCAAAACTTTTAGATGAGACTATTTTTGGGGGAGTGGGGAGCTTTAGGGACACCAAGTGAAATCCAATCTTGGGGCAACTTCTATAGTGCAAAAAGGAGGAAGAGCCAAGTTTTAATGCTGGCTCCGCTTCTTGCCTTAGAAATTCCCTCTGTCAGCACTTCAACCTGCATTTACACTAGTGCTGACATAAGAAGGAAAAGAGGGGGCAGCTGGCAAGAGGACGTTTGACTGTTCACCTTCTTATTTTCCCTGAAGATAATATCCCCTAGGAGATGGGATGGGAGGGGGGACATTCCTGGGAGCTGAAGTAGTAGATATGGGGAGAGTGATTTGGAAGATGGCCAATGAGACCCAGAGAATTGGGGAACGGAAAGGGAAGGTTTGGGGTCAGGAAGTCAATGTTGGCTGCGACATAATCGGGAACATATTGTCGTGCTTAATAAATGAAAGATTTCATCAAAGACTATTTATTTGGAAATGCAATTTATTTTATTTGAAACGACATCGAAACCTGACACCCTCTTCTAATTCCAAGGAAGAAATCCCAAGTTAGCTTCTTCTTGTACACAACTAAGGAAGGACAGTGTCGTACGCTCATTTCAGTGGTGGGCTGCTCCCGGTTCGCACCGGTTCACAAGAACCAGTAGTAAAAAATTTTAGTAGTTCGGAGAACCGGTAATAACATTGGCTGGCCAAGCCCCCAAACCGGTCCCCAGCCCGGTCACCGCTTGCTTACCCCGCCCACCTCATCAGAGGCTTTTTTTTTAACTTTTAAAAGCATTTTTTCTACAACCTCTTCGGCCGAAAAAAATGCTTCTAAAAGTTAAAAAAAAAGCCTCTGATGATCGCGCGGCTGAGCTGGGGGCTCTTCAGAGGCTTCTGAAAACATTTTTTCTGCAACCTCTTCAGCCAAGGAGCTTGTAGGGGAAAAAAATCCCTTTAAAAGCCTCTGGTGATCCCAGCAGATCTGCCTAATCGTCAGAAGCTTCTAAAAGCATGTTTTCCTGCAACCTCTCCAGCCGAGGAGGTTGTAGGAAAAAAAAATCCCTTTAAAAGCCTCTGGCGATCCCAGCAGATTTGCCTGATCGTCAGAGGCTTCTAAAAGCATTGTTTTCTGCAACCTCTCAGCCGAGGAGGTTGTAGGAAAAAAAAATCCCTTTAAAAGCCTCTGGTGATCCCAGATGACTTGCCTGATCGTCAGAGGCTTCTAAAAGCATGTTTTTCTGCAACCTCTTAAGGTTGTAGAAACAATGCTTTTAAAAATAAAAAAATAAAAAGTTGGCCACACCCACCCAGTCACATTACCCCCAAGCCACACCCATAAAATAAGCCACGCCCACAGAACTGGTAGTAAAAAAAATTAGAACCCACCCCTGGTTTATTTCCATGCAATTCTGTTGGCTGCAATATGGAAATAGCCTTATTTTGCCCCTCCACTTAATATTGCCCCCAATATGGTAAAGGCAAGCTATTCCCGTATTAGAAATATGTTTACTCTTCTCTTTACTAGTGGTGTGTATGTGTGTGGGGTTTTTTTTGCCAGGATAAGATTAGTGAAGTATTGCGACTTTTGAACAGCTACTAATAATCCAAAAAGTGAGCAGTTTTTGCATGCCTCTTTGAGAACGTCCGAATGTCCGAGGAAGCTGGCTGCTCTCCAGTTTAAAGCAATAATACAGAACACACCCAATTTGTGTAAGAAATCTGCTTTTTGTACCTTGTACCAGGCGTTTTATTTCTTAGATATCAGAACCGAACGAAATATCAGAGTTGGAAGAGATCCTGCAGGTCTTAAGTTAAGTTTAC